ACATCAAGCTATGGCGAAGACGAAGTCGAAGCGTTGTGTATGGACTTCGAAAGTTTTCAGAGAGATACCATACATTCTTCAATGTCATTGTTAAAGATTTCAAAGCAAAAATTAGACCCAAAAGAACATCTGAGGAGCGTCACATTGGGACACACGGACTAGAATGGAATGAGCAGGATGGGAAGTTATCTAAGTTTATCATAACGACCGAAACCGGTACTTCACCGTCATCTGCTGTCCGTTTCGACCAGTCGTATGAAACGTATTTTTTGGTCATTTCTAACATTCAGATAGTCGTTCAGTAGCATAAGTTAAAAGAATTCGAATGGTATAATTCATCTTCAAAACCTTTTATATCGTGCTGAAAGAGCAAAAATTAAATTTCGTTACTCATTGAGAGATTTTTCGCTCACCAAAACTTTTCCTTGTAGTAATAGTTACCGATCCATAGACCAAATCCAATGATTCATTTGGCTTCTATAATGGACTTGATATTACGCTGTAACAGCCAAAGGAAATTGGTTTCCGCGAAAAATGAATTACTTCCTCTGTCATTTTCCTACTTCGATCCACTGGGAAGAATGTATTTTTTGAACGCTTGCATTGTTTAAATAATCAATCGATAGCTTAATCAAGAAGAATCCAAATTGTGTATTTCGCTTCCAAAAAGACCTTTTTTCTTGCGCTAAAAAGCAAAAATGATATTTCGCTACTGATTGGAAGATTTCACGCTGCTTGAGCAACCAAGCGATAGATCTTATCTAAGGAATTCCAACAATGTTTTTGGCCTTCAAACGGGCTACCTAGTGCATCATAAGAACTAATAGAAAATTAAATTTCTCATTTACATATTTTCCACTTTTCCGAAGCCCAATCTTTTTTTTTGCCTGTTACAGGGTGATACGAAGTCCATATTTGGAATCAAATAGATCATTGTAATTTCTAGGACCGGATATAATGATTGATCACAGAACTCCAACGGAGAAGCTCTAGTCGGCGAGAAATCTTTGAATGAAAGACAAACATTCATTTTGCTTTTTCAGCGCAATAAAAAAGCCTTTTTTGAGATGAATACACCACTCAAATTCTTTCGATCTGGGCCATCGAATGGCTACTTGAATATAGCACCATAAATACGTTTTTTCCAAGGTATTGAGGTGAGTAGCGGATATCGAAGTGATCCCTACGGGTCCCTACGGTTCATTGCCTATGGGTTCTTAGAACAAGAAGACACACTGGAAAGTCTACACTATCTGCTACGTCACGGAGGCCATTTGAGGTAGTTCATGCCATTCTTGTTTTTCCTCTATTATTGCATTAGGCAGTAGCAGTTACGCTCAAAGACAGACAGACAGTGAAGAAGTGAACAGTTCAGCGATGTTTATTTTGCTTCTCCCACAACTACACAGAGCGAACGACCAATCACAGAGGAGGCGAAATCTAATGCTTATAACTGCAAAGAAAGCAGGTCAACTCGTCCACTAACAACTTATTGGTCTTTCTATTTTTTCCATAGGCACAAATCTTCAGTGAAAATCCAACATTAATGAACGGCACTTTAGAATTATTGTGTACGTGAACTCACTTCTGCAATGAGCTTGGCAAGGACTAAAGCGATTGTGGTGAGCAGGAGGATGCCACCAACATACGACTTTCAATTGTGCCCCTCAGGGTTTTTTTCAAGCAGACATCCGCATAAATTCTAAATAAGTTTAGATTTCAAAAACGTCAAAAAATGAAGTGCAAAAGTGTTGTTGAATGATGTATGAACTTACGCGTAACTAGCACTCCTTCAGACCGAGAACAAGATCAGTGATTTAGAGAGGTAGTCATAAGTGAACCACACCACTATTTCATGCTGATTGAAGAGTACGAGATAAAGAAGATAAGATATGATCAAACAAATTTTCTCAAGTTTTTCAAGTTATTTCTCGTTGGCACCAATCGGTGGGCTAAATGATTAGTGATTCAGAGAGGAATTTTGAGTTGGCAGTATAGATGAGAGATTTGAATTCATCTTCGAGTTTCTAGATAACTTTTGTCAAAGCAACGGAGATGGAGTTTGCCAATACTTCTTTGGGGTCTTATGCATGTCCAAATAAGATCTGAATTTTTTGGATGCGCTTAATTATCCATTTTAATAAATCATGATCTTAGCATTATTTCTGGCCTGATTTATTTAAGCGGTAGTGTTCGATGCGAAATAAATCACGATTGCTGAGATTGTGAACTAGAACCTGAAACGCGATCTTCTGACTGGCGATTACACCCGCGGCTTCACAACTTTTCCAGTGCACCATCAAGGCCCTCGTTGTGCTTTCTGTCGCTCGTTACTCGTCGTTCTCTGTTTTTGTTTTTTAGTCTCCTCAAGTACTAAATTCGAAGCTTTCACTTAAATAGAAGCCACCAACGGCAGCCAAGCTCTTGCTGAATCCATAATTCATTGCAGCATCTGATATAAACCGGTTTTTTAGGAGGTGCCTGTTGGTAGTTTTCCTAGTTTAGTTGAATTGAGTCTATGACAAGCTTGTAAGGTGGAGATATATCCTAAAGTTATTCCGTGAATAATTCTTTCAACAATTCATCAGCAATGTATGGTTGATGGTCTTTCAAAAGGTCATTAGGTCAGAATCCTAGCTTACTTGAGGTGTCTCTGTAAGTTAAGCAATAAGTTAGTGGAAATTGCATCAGTTTGTAACGGACACCGTGTATTTTACACAATTTTGATTAGTTCGGACCAGACAACATAATCCATATAGTGACTTTCTTTCTGCTGGTTTATTTCGCTACACCAACCTTCCTATCTGCGTCTCATCCTTGCCGTCCAGGGAATGTTTTATTCCGCACCAAAAATTCGAAAATATATAAAAGAAACTCTAGTCAAGCGCAAAAATTTCTACTGGATTATTAGTAATTCTTCAAAGCTTCTTTGTGATTTCAAGGGTGTACTTGTTCTTGAGAAGACGTCTTTACTGCGCTGTATCTGTGAAAATAAAACAGCTTCACACGCGGCGCAAGTGAACGCGTATATTTTCGCCTTCTATGTGAAAATGTTTCTTTTGCACTAAAGCAATTTTTGGCTTTTCGCCCCGAAATTGTAAAAGAATCTCTGCTTTACCGGTATGAATGGAACACGGTTCGTTTCCCGTCTGAGGTCGGATTTTGCTTACCACTCATTCTATTGGGAAAACTCGAAACATCTCAAGCACTTCCAAAAAAGCAGTAAAAACATAAGAATTCTTGGAATTATTTAGTACAATCGCTGTCAGCTTAACTGGTTATGAAGCGATATTGTCAAGCAAATCTGTTGATTGGTCGCTGATAGGTATTATACAAAGATATTGAGGAATGAGTGGTGAGTAAGCGGCGTCAATTTTAGTGGTGATCATATTTGCGATGCTGCAGCACTCTATAAAATTTTTTTTTTGAAAAATAAACTGAAGTATAAAGTACATTGAGCAAGTTTTTAGCCTTTCAAGAGGTCTGGCATGTCACATAGTTACTGCTGTATAGGACTGTTTCGTCTTTCCAGGCTCATCACTGGCCAGTGTCTTTCGGTTCAGCCGATCCTCTGCATGAATATACCTCTGCTCAAAGAAATCAAGGCCGAATGACAAATCACCGTATGCTAGGTGGTAGGTGGGAGTTAAGTTATACGAGAAGTGGGAAAACTTTACTACGGTTGTAAGAAATTTTTGTGTAACTTTATTGAGCACAGGATAACTCTCATACATATTATACTACATTTTCTTATGTGGGATTTTTCACTAAAGGCCTGAATACTAATCGCCTTTATTTCCACTTTGCCACAGGTCTCCGCAATGTCCAACCAATAATCGAAGTTCGTGCTTTATCTCGTCATTATAGAGAAGCCACGACAACATCGATCGTTCGGTAAAGTTGAAGAAGCATGTCTGAGATTCTTTTATTCTAAGGAATGAGTCTAAGGAATGGCGCTTCTACCATTCGAAAATTGGCAGACCGATGTTAGAAAGTCATAGAAAGCAATGGCCTTTATTTTGACGAATAGGTGTTATTGTTTTTCTTTGAAATTGCATGAATTTTCAGTTTTTTGCAGGTGCCCTAAAACTTTCTTCTCAGCCTATATCTTTATAAGTAAGGTTATATCCCACTAGGATCGGCTGAATCGAAAGGCACTGTACTACTGACACCTGGAAAGGCGAAATGGGCCTCTTTATTATTGTATAAGCGACATATCAGACTACATAAAAGGCTCAAAACATGCTATCATATTATCAGACTATTATTGTTCTTCGTCGCTTTCGCAAAAGGCGCAGTGATCGAGTGGTTTTAATGCTCGCCGTGGCGCGTTTGGAATAAAACTGCAGTCCACGCTCTCTTCGACAGTTAACAACAGCGCTTCATGAAACGCCACATCCAGGCTATCCTCGAAATTGCAAGAAAACTTGCTCAACCAGTATTCTACGACATTCAAGAAGAAGACGAAATGATGAGCTGAATTCTATAAATACTGAGATTCGCACATTGAAAAGAAACACAGCGAAGACGGATCAATTAAATGTCTAAAAATGTATTGCTTTTGGGGCGAATTTAATAAAAGCAACGAATGAGGAGGTACAATTCATTTCACCAGTCAAGAGTTTGATTGTGCTTTTCGTGCTTCCAGTGCAGCAATTGTAGAGAAGCGCGCAGGCGGTGCAAAACATATTTCGAATGCTATAGCGTTACAAAAATTTTTTTTTGAAAAGGAGCGCTTGGCGCATTAGCCAGTGAAATAACATGAGTGCTTAGTAACGCTATTATGGAAACTTCTTGTCCAACGGGAAGGGGTCGTTTCTTTATGTGTCCGCGGATGACAGAAAAGAACCATCTTCCTTTCACATAAGCAGTTCGTACAAGCCTATAGTGCTGTTTGAATCTTGGATACAGCATAGCACAAAATATATCGTGTCGAACAGCTTCGCTTCTTGCTTAGCTACTGCAATAACGGAGTCACCTTTTGAGGAGTGTGTGTATTGGCATTGGTGGTTTAGTGGTAGAATGCTCGCCTGCCGCGCGAGTGACCCGGGTTCGATTTCTGGCCAATGTTTAGAGGTGCTCTGTGTCGCACACGAGGTCAGTGGTTCGATCTCGCACACCAAGCTATCCATCCCTCCGAGATCGGTATATTGGTACCAGGCAGGTCTCAGACTTGTATGCGAGTATAAGCAGCACTGACTTGGTTCAGAGGCCACCGTGTGTTAATGTAAAGGCCAGATATGCATTCACCTGCCTCAAACGAAGTTAAAAATTGAAGACAAATGTATGGCGCATCCCTCAGGGATTGACCAACGCCGAGAGGTGGAGCTGGAGCTGGTGTATTGGCGAGCGAAGCAATGGGAATAAGGAAAATTTGTTTGGTTCATGGGAACATTATCACTACTGAAGGTTAGAATATCACCGAAGATAACTTGTTGAGAGAACTTTTCACTATGAATAAAGCCTGTACTTCCTGAAAATCACGATGTTTTGCACGAGAAAACCACATCGTTGGAAGAGAAGCGTAATTCTCACGATCATTCATTAAAGACCCAGGCAGGTTAACTAGCTCATTGTTGATAAAATGATGGAAATTAATCCTTAGTTCACACATTACTCTACTGAAACAGAACAAAGAAAATGATTAGCAGCGATTTCTTCAAAATTTGTTCCGTTACGTACGATATATTAGAGTAAATATTGAACAAGGGATACATGTCGTAACTTCAATTAGCAAATTGTGGGAACAGTTTATTAGCGGGCAGAGATTCTGGAAGAAGGAAGGCAATTGCTTATTGTTTCACTATTACACTTTTATAGCTTACCAAAGGCACTCAAAGTCTTGAAAGTCTGCAAAGACGTGACTATCAAAATGATAGCTTTCTCCATGTCCACTGCGTTGTTACTGGTTGTCTAGAGAATTGAAGATGCGTCCTGTTCTCTTTACAAATTAGCAGAGTTGTGATTTTTTGTTTTTGAAATCATCAGCCACTTAGTTTGATCTACTGCCAAATAGTCCTAAGTGGATAAACTCGATAAAACTTGTTTATCTCTTATCCTTGCTGTCTCACAAAATCCTATAGGCATAGATTACTGCTGTAATCCATTTCTAGCCGAGTGCGTTTGGAAAGAGGTTCCACTTAGATGTAAGTTATCATATTGGCCAATGTTTTGCCTGAGCCATTTCCACAAAGGTACTTGTATTCAATATTCATTCAGATTCAAAGTTAAGAAATGTGTTTTGGGAAAAAAGACCGTGGGACGTCTGAAAGGCAGCCTCCAGGCACCGCCACCGGTTGCCAAGTCACAGTCGGCGCGCAAGAAAACAAGGAGTGCAGAAAAGGAAGGAAGAAGCCAAAAAGTCGCTAGATCAAGAGACACTAAATGATTGCGAGAAGGTGCTGGCCAAACCGATCACCAAATTGGGCATGTTCATGCGCCTTTTCTAAACCACACACACCACAAGTCCCGGTAACAATTCACAGATTGTGTATCGAAGATTAACGTTCCTTTTGAGCTTTTTTGCATAAACGTACAACCACTTTCTAGAGGACTAACCTATGAAGAATTTTGTTCCATCTGTCTCCTTGATGGAATCACCAATGGTTGGTAATTATCTAATTTATTACACTGCTCTCATGGACTCACCAAGCCATCCATCCTTCGGGATCGGCAAACTGGTACTAGACTGGTCTCAGACTCTCTGTATTGTCTGGGACGATAAGCAGCATGACTGACTCGGTTTAGCGGGAGGCCACCACGAGTCATTGTAAGGGCCAAATATGCAATCAGTCACCTTAAACGAAGTTAAAAATTCAAGGTGATTGCGTGGCGCATCCCTCAAGGACAGATTAACGGCGAGATCTTTACCCTTTTTATTCTTCGATAAATTTCAGATTTTTGCGAAGCTAATGCAAGCAAGGAGTGCATTGTCTCATTTCAACATCATGACGGTCTTACCGGCACAGCAAACAGCATGTGATGAAGAATTACGGTATTAAGTGAGGATACGAGCTTAATTTTCCATTCAGTTTGCTTCAGTTTCCCTATTTCGACGTCTGTTCAGTGTCGCACTTATTCAGTCTCAAAGACCTTCCATTATCTTTTCGTTATTATTTCTTGTTCTGATATGAATTTGTTCAGAATACATGCTGCTCTTGAGGCTACAGATGAAGTGCTTTCTGAAGGACTCAGTAGTCTAATCGGACTTGCTGTGGTGCCGGGTGGAAGTATTCTTTTGGATGAATATCGAGAACAATAAGATTCGTTGCCTTTGAGGAGAAGTTGCACGGTTGGCGAGTATGTTTTTACTCCACTATTGGTTCATTTTCAAAATCAAGTGAACTGGGAATTTTGTGTAACGGTTTCTAATAACGTTGAAGATCGAAGAACCACCTTCTGATGTGTAAACTACATATAAGTGGTGAATCTCAATATTTTGTCGTTCATGATCTTCCACAATACCGGTGTTTTTGTATAGCTTCAGCTAAAAAAGCAAAAATCAAAAAAACTAAGCTTTTATTCCTAAACTCTCCTTCGACTTTGTTTTTTGTCGTATATGTAATTGTGCAGTAGTATATTTTTTGTTGATCAAGCCTTTAGCACAAAGCTGATAGAAGCAAATTTATTCGGGTAACGTTCTGACGTCTTCTATTTCATAAAGCTAATAATCTAAGCCGATTGCCCTCGTTCTTCCTCGTTGTGGTCTTCGTACTCGTGTCGTTCGGTCAAGTTTTCTCGGTGGAGAACCGCTGATAGAAGAACTTCACTCGGTGATGCTCATACATACATGACGATTAACGACCATCGTGTAGTAATCGGTATCAAATTAGTTGCCTAGTTCCGTGCTCCCACAATCGTCATGCGTAAGGCGACTTTTCTTACACATGTTAGAGATTGAAGAACCAGCTTTAGATGTGTTTAGTTGATGCATGTAGTGAACACCACACCTTTCGTCGTCATCGATCTTCCTCAGGACAGTGCGGTTTTGGGCATCTTAGTTAGGAACTGAGAGATCGAAGGGAATTGAACTTTTTTTTTCTCCAAAGCACTCTTTAGTGGTTTTTCTTATCTCGCGTGTGATGTCTTGCTGTAGATGTGGCGATGAACTGCCTATGGTTGAAAGTCATTTTTCTTCGAGGATCCTGAGTGTCAAACAAGTCTTTTGACCTCAGGTGAAAGTTCAGTCCGCGTCACCCATCTCGGGACGCATGATCCACTACATGAGCGAGGCTACCGCTCTGCTAACAATCCATAACATTGATCTTTACAAAATTTCATTTCCTTTGATATTTGGGTACTCTGAAAAGATAAAGACTTTGCTGCTGTATGCAGTTCAGAGTTTGGTCAGAATCTGTTTCCCAAGAGTCAGTTGGAAAGGCGCCACAGCTACTACTGATCAGTGGTTGTTTAGAATGCAGATATACATAATTTTTATAAACGATTCTGTTAACCTCAGCACCAATCGGTAAGTCGAGTATTAGCAGAACAGGAGCCACGTTAGTGCAGTGGCTAGTGCATACTCCCAAAAAAGATGAGACGCAAGTTCAGCTGCAGCCCCAGATGGAAGTTTTGTGTATTACTCAACGTTCTTGTACATATGTGTGTATATATGCATACTTATACATGTGCTTACATACAGACATATACATAAGCGTACACATATATATGTGCATATATATACATATTATTTTCATATGCGCATATAGGTGGGGCGCCGAGTGGCTGCGTTGCTCGTCGCGGTGCGCGTGATGCCGAACCACCCATCCCTAACACTCTTCGACAATCAGCAACGAACGCCTTATAGAACGCCACAGGCAATGAAAAAAAAACAGACACTGTGAACACGGATAATAAAGTGCCAAAAAATATATGTAATATCGCAACGTTGCTACAAAATGTGGTGAAATAGAAAGGATCTTCGTAGATAATAAGTTACTTACAAGGCAGGCGCGTAATTGTTAATACTAAGTTTACTCAACAGTGACTAATGTTTCGGTTGTTTCGCTTTTCTCAGAGTCAAACTTATGCACAGTCTAGCAAGCCAGACACTTTTATAGCCCAAGCAGAAAAATTTTAAAGTCCCACAATGGCATCGAAAATAGTTTTTTTAACAGTCACGCTTATGTTTTTTACAATTCGAAGGAGTGAGATGTAAAGCATGTGTTACTTCGCCCTATATCTCAGACAAATTTTCTTTATGTTTTGTGGCAGACACTTTCTCTGATCCTGTGACTTCCGTACAGCTGGTCCCCACCAATAAGTGAAAGACTTGGCGAGAACAAACTTCTTTGAGGAATGTGTAACCACCGAAATGTTTGGCTCTTTTGAAAGCGAGAAGATTTGAACCTTGCACACCAGTCTCGAATTGTGATCATCCATGTTCTTCACGTCATCGTGTTCAATCCGCTGGCGAGATCACGCGATGAGCCTGTATGCACACGTGTCGATTCACGCAACGCCTTTCTCAAGGATGACCGTGGAAAAGAGGTATCTTACAAAGAGGATTTGATAAAATCAAACAAAACCTTTGCGCTTTGGCGGCCGTTTTGTAGGCGGGCACTTCGAATGGTTATGAAGAGAGCTGGCGAGAGTCAATACTAAATGTCAACGACAATGCTAACTTTTTATGCACTCGCTTACATTCTGTGCTATTAACATAAATAGTTTTATTGGGTTGTCGGTCGCTTTTCATTGGAGGAAAGGGCCAGTACTTGTAAGCCGTCCGAACAGCGCAAGCACGCTTGTATCATTTTCGATACAATCCGTAGCGAAAGGGAAAATGGTGACATTGTCTTCACGGATTTATGCAAAGACATAGAAATCTATTTCTGTATGTACATAAGCCGTTTTTTTTTATTGGGAACAGTTTTGTTTCATCCCACAACAAATTTCGCCAATATTTGAGTTCAAGAACGATAAACTTGTTGCAAGTAGCGAGTATGAGATGTGTTATCGCTTACGAAATGTCGATCTAAACACCCAGATGATTCCAAAAAGTATATCTTGTTCTTTTTTATAACGAAAAGTTGAAAGTAATCAAGTGAGAAACTATTGAGAAAACAGCTTCTC